GGAGAGGGACGGGCCGTAATTGCGTGCATCGGCCACTGACGGGTCGTATCTCTGACCCCGGCCGCCGCTGCCGCCGACCCTGGCCGCGGCGGCTCGGCCGGTCTCACCGTCGGAGGCCTGAAACAATGCGCTGATCGTGGGCCGGCAGCGTCGCCGCGCGCCGGCCCGGTCCGGGCCGGCGGCTACTGCGGGCCGCCGCGCGCCCGCTACTGACGGCTAGCTACTGCGTGCTTTAGCGCGCGCGGCTACTGACGGGCCGCACTGGTGCGGCGGCTCGCCTCCGTTGACACGAGTCAGGCTTGCTCGTCTGCTGTGGCCACGCAGATCGGGTATATCTGGAGACGAATGGGTCGGCAGAGCCGGCTTGGCTGATGACGGGTTTGGCTGATGCAGGTGGCGTGCCGTCGGCTCGGCCGTCCGGCCACACTTTCCGACCGGGCCCGTACTGTGGGCTCGTCTGGCCAGTGACACTCTCCGGCCGGGCCCGCACTGTTGGCTCGGCTGGCCAGGAACACTCTCCGGCCGGGCCCGTACTGTGGGCTTGGCTGGCCAGGGACACTCTCCGGCCGGGCCCGCACCGTTGGCTCGGTTGGCCAGTGACACTCTCCGGCCGGGCCCGTACTGTGGGCTTGGCTGGCCAGGGACACTCTCCGGCCGGGCCCGTACTGTTGGCTCGGTTGGCCAGTGCACTCTCCGGCCGGGCCCGTACTGTTGGCTCGGCTGGCCAGTGACACTCTCCGGCCGGGCCCGCACTGTTGGCTCGGTTGGCCAGTGACACTCTCCGGCCGGGCCCGTACCGTTGGCTCGGCTGGCCAGTGACACTCTCCGGCCGGGCCCGCACTGTTGGCTCGGTTGGCCAGTTGCACTCTCCGGCCGGGCCCGCACTGTGGGCTTGGCTGGCCAGTGACACTCTCCGGCCGGGCCCGCACTGTCGGTTCGGCTGGCCAGGGACACTCTCCGGCCGGGCCCGTACTGTGGGCTTGGCTGGCCAGGGACACTCTCCGGCCGGGCCCGTACTGTGGGCTCGGCTGGCCAGTGACACTCTCCGGCCGGGCCCGCACTGTTGGCTCGGCTGGCCAGGGACACTCTCCGGCCGGGCCCGCACTGTTGGCTCGGTTGGCCAGTGACACTCTCTGGCTGGGCCCGTGCTGTCGGCTCGGCTGGCCGGTGACACTTTCCGGCCGGCCCGTACTGTGGGATTGGCTGGCCAGTGATACTCCCCGGCCGGCCCGTACTGTGGGCTTGGCTGGCCAGTGATACTCCCCGGCCGGCCCGTACTGTGGGCTCGGCTGGCCAGTGATACTCCCCGGCCGGCCCGTACTGTGGGCTCGGCTGGTCAGTGACACTCCCCGGCCGGGCCCGCACTGTCGGTTCGGCTGGCCAGGGACACTCTCCGGCCGGCCCGTACTGTGGGCTCGGCTGGCCAGTGATACTCCCCGGCCGGCCCGTACTGTGGGCTCGGCTGGTCAGTGACACTCCCCGGCCGGGCCCGCACTGTCGGTTCGGCTGGCCAGGGACACTCTCTGGCCGGGCCCGTACTGTGGGCTCGGCTGGCCAGTGATTCTCCCCGGCCGGGCCCGCACTGTGGGCTCGGCTGGCCAGTGACACTCCCCGGCCGGGCCCGTACTGTGGGCTCGGCTGGCCGATGACACTCCGTACCGTGGGCTCGGCTGGCCAGTGACACTCCCCGGCCGGGCCCGTACTGTGGGCTCGGCTGGCCAGGGACACTCTCTGGCCGGGCCCGCACTGTCGGCCCGGCCGTCCGTCGAGACGCCCCAGCCGGGCCCGATTGACCGACACTAGTATTCGCCGACAGCTGACAGAGGTCCCTCTGGTGCGGCGCATCGGGCCGTTCAAACGCGCCACTGGGTCAATGTAATGGGGTGTGTCTGAGCAGCCACATGGGCGCAGCACAGCCGGCTTCAATAGCAAGCAACTGACGCTTTATTGTGCGACACACCCATCCTGCGTGCTCGCAAGATCACGTGATAATATCGCGAACCGTCGAGCGTCACGCCACTCATGCTGTGCGCCTCCTGCGGCGGGAAATTTGAAGCTAGCACAGGAAAACGACCGTTTGAGAGCCGTTGAATCCGACACCGGGTGCAACGGTGTGCCGTTGAGACTTTTAAACGTACGCCCACTTTGGTGCTGAGGGACAGGGTACGTTGATCAAGTCCGACCGGACAGCGTCCGGACACGGGTGTCAAGCGCGTCGTTTGCAAGGAACTGGTTGGTCGAAAGAGTCTCATGTCCTGAAGAGCCTGCGGCCAGACTTGACGCTGGTCAGGGACCGGTCGAACCAGGGAAACCCGCCTGGAGATCAGGGACCGGTCGGACCAGAGGGCCTCTGCTGGGAGAGCAGGGACCGGTCGGACTAGATTGCGTCCGCTTGGAGATCAGGGACCAGTCGGACCAGAGGGCTTCTGCTGGGAGATCAGGGACAGGTCGGACCAGATTGCGCCCGCTTGGAGATCAGGGACCGGTCGGACCGGATTGCGCCCGCTTGGAGATCAGGGACCGGCCGGACCGGATTGCGCCCGCTTGGAGATCAGGGACCGGTCGGACCAGATTGCGCCCGCTTGGAGATCAGGGACCGGTCGGACCCGATTGCGCCCGCTTGGAGATCAAGGATCGGTCGGACCAGAGGGCTTCTGCTGGGAGATCAGGGACCGGTCGGACCAGATTGCGTCCGCTTGGAGATCAGGGACCGGTCGGACCAGATTGCGTCCGCTTGGAGATCAGGGACCGGTCGGACCCGATTGCGCCCGCTTGGAGATCAGGACCGGTCGGACCAGAGGGCTTCTGCTGGGAGACCAGGGACCGGTCGGACCAAAGGGCACCCGTTGGGAAATCTTGGGTCTGCCTCAGATCTTCGACCGCCCCGGGTGCCTGCATTGATTCGACGCCCCCCCCCCCCCTCCGCCTCCCCCGCTCATCCCTGTTAGCCCGTGCCGGCGCTGGTAGGTCTTAGGCGAGCTGTTAATTGGACCGTGTTCGCGGCGCCGGCCGTGCCGTCTGGGCCCGCCCGCGTGCGTGCTCATGCAGTGCCCGAGCCGCTGGCGTCGGATGTGAAATCCAGCCGACGTTGGTCGTGTTTGTCCGGAAGTCGCCCTGTGTCGAAATGTGACCTACGGCTGTATGAGTACGCCTTCAGCATTATGTCACGTCACCGGCTGTTGTAATAAACTGATTATATTTCTTACTTTCCCGAGGGATCAATGTTTAAATGAGTTGACCAAAGACGGCAAGGTTCGCATGTCTTTTCCACGCCACACGTCCGGCCCGGACGTTGGTCTGAGCTGATTCCGGCCGCGGTCGCTCTGTCGCGCCGCTGGACGCCGCCTGGTTGGCGTCCGGACCGGACTGCGGCGACTTGGTGTGGAGATGTGGCGGCGGCTGCGCTGCTAACGGGCCGCCGGGGGCCCATTGACGCCCGCCATCCCGCTGGCGGCGGAGGACCACTGACCGCATCGGCACCGGCGGCACTGTGCTGACCCGGTGCGGGCGACGGCCGGCCGGCGGCGCGGGCCCGGCCGTGCGGTGCGGAGGAGCGCGGCGGTCGGCCGCGCCGCCTCCGGATCGATAGCCTTGACCTTGCGGTGTCAGCGCTTCAGCCGCGGGCCAGCTGGCGGCCTGGGGCAGCGGGGCCGGCAGAGCAGACGGCGCGCCTGATGGTCCGCTAAACTGCCGGGCAGCCGGGCGACGTGATCAGCTGTTTATAGCGCCGGGAGCGAGTGGGCCGTCGTAAAATGGGCGTTTCAGGTGATGCGATGCGCTCGGCTCGGGTCGCTGGAATGTAACCGCTGGGTACCGAAGCCAGCCTGTTGCAGCGGGTTTCAGTGTCACAGACCGGAAACGTGGGCATCACGCATTGATCTCGTGCCTTTGAGCCGTCTTTTTCGGGGTGACAAAGAACATCGGTGGGTGCGCGGTCTGCGGGGGTGCCGGGTGGGGGAGGGGTCGCCGGCCGACGGACTCCGGTCTCGCCGTTAATGGGATTGAGTGCTGGCGCCTGGAATTACTGTCGTGTCGGCCCAGAGGCCGTCAGCGGTGGGGAGCCGTCACGGGCCGGGGGACGCCCGTCACGCCTCTGATGGCGGTGCTCACGAGTTTGCAGTGCCTGAGCGCCGGCTGAGCGTGCCCCACGCGATGTCTCCGATCACTCCCCGTTCACCTTTTGGGGGCGCTCTGGGTCGGTCGGTCGGACCAAGGGCGCCGTCGCTCGGCCGACACGGTCCGTACGGCGGTCGCGGCGGCGGCGGCGGCGGCGGCGGCTAACCCGGCTCGAAGAGGAGTGTGGCACACTACGGGGGGGGGGGGGGGGGCAGCCGGCCGCTGACAGACGGCCGGGCAGCCGAGCCATCTGCACCGGGTTCAGGGGCCACGCCAGGACTGAGTCCCAGACCAGACAGACCCATGGCTGCGCACGCAGAAATTGTGCGGCAATGGCATAATCGAACATGCGGGAATGTTCTGGCTCGATTGGACCGTGGCCGTTTGAGCCAATTGCCGTGACCGGGGAGTCAATTAACTGAGTTCCATGACGGACGTGTGAGTTATGTCGGTGCTGGTATCATGATGTCTGGTTTGTGGAAACGTATCAAAATGGCTCAAGAATGCAGATGAGAAATGTCTTCATATGTGATTTAGGCGCTCGCTAAGCATCTGCAGGATCTGCAACAGCCCAGAAATGCATGGACGCTATATGACTGCGCAGTTGAAGAGCCCCGAAGCCCCTATTATGACTACAGGCTGTATAATCAGTGTGCGGAATAGCCTAGGATAGAGGGCTTCAGTCTAGACCGACATTTTGTGGACGGCTTGCCAGCCCTGCGTGGTGGCGACGGTGCCGTACCGTGCTTCTGATGCTGCTGGTCCGGCCCGGCCTGGCCCAGTGTTTTACACTGACCCTCCGCCCTTACGGCGTCCGCGTCTGCTGGTGCCGCTGGCTTGGTCTGGTCCGGTCCGGTGTGTGACACTGACGCTCCGCCCCGCAGGGCGCCCGCGTCTGGGTGCGAGACGCCACCACCGTGTGGAAGGCGGCCACTCTCAAGGCCGACTATGTGAAGGACCGGCTGACACTGGAGCTGGAGGACTCCGGGGAGGTGAGTGGGGCGGTGGCGGTGGACTGCCGACTGCGGCAGACTGCGGTGGCGGCGGTGGACCGCCCCGTCACACCCCGCCGCTCGGCCCAGAGCTGCACTAGATGACTCAGACTTGTGGTTTGACGTGTGCGGTACGTTAACATGGGCAAAGCATATAGTGCTGTTTTTTAGCTAGAGTGTTCGTGCGATTTATGCCGTGATTTTCATGCGTTCAATTCATGGACTGTTGTTGCGATTTATTTACTTCTTACTGCGTTGTTTTGGACGCGGTGTTGCGTCGAGTGGGCCGAGGGTCCACTACGTCCACTACAGAGGCGCCCGTGCCCCACTGCGTCCACGACTTGATGTGACCAGCATCGTAGCCCTGACCTGTGCGACCGTGACCCCTCACCTGTCCCGCTTCGAATCGCCAGGAGCTGGAGCTGACCGTCAAGGACGACTCTGAACTGCCGCCGCTGCGGAATCCGGAGATCCTGATCGGCGAGAACGACCTGACCAGCCTGTCGTACCTGCACGAGCCGGCTGTGCTCTACAACCTGCGCGTGCGCTTCTGCGACCACGGCGCCATCTACACCTACTGCGGTCAGTTGGCGTGGCCTGTGAGGGCTTGAAGCGGGGCAGCAGACGGGCGGGCCCTGTGATCATCGCACCGGCAGCGCCCTCGGCCGGGTCTCTGTCCAGAGCGAGGCTGCGGAGACCGGTCCTCTCTGGTTGTGTTTGTCATCGGCTGTGGACGGCCAGCGCAGGTCGCTGGTGACCCGAAAGCCCGCTGAGGTTGGGGATGCGCAGGCTGTTCCTCTGCCCCAGCCTTGGTGGACAGTTTTGTTAGCGAACCAGGATTCCCGCCGACGGTGTATGTGCCACGGCACTGCGGGGTATTTGGCTGGACTGCTTAGCTGGCTCTTTGTGATTACATGTGACGATTGTCCAGCAGACATTTAACATAGCAGCGGATTGTGTCCGTCCCCGTCCCCCCCCCCCCCTCTCCTCTCCAGGCGATGGCGCTTGACCATTGCTAATTCGTCTCATTGCTGTGGTAGCGCCCCACCCCTCTCGCCCAGCTGCCGGTCGCGGTGTCAGCGTTGGCTGCCGTTATCTGGCGGGATCGGAGAGGTCTGATTAGGCTGCTGCCGCCGCGACCCTGGTCAGCGAGCCGGCGAATGGCCGCCAGCGGCTGCCGTCGAGCCGCGAGGGCGTGGCGGCTGCGGGACGAGCGGGTTTCCGGCTGTGGGTCCCCCTCCTCCCCTCCCTACCGGTCATTAGTATGCCGGAATGCCGGCCAGTCGGGGCGGTGGAGCTCCCGCCCGCCACGCCTGACTTAAGAATGCTGCAGACACCGGGTCAGACGCGCTGCGCAGGCGGCGAGGAGATGGTCTGACGAGTCCCAAATGTTATGTGTTTGTCCTCTGAATCACCCAACCGCGTTTTGTTTTGGCACGTGGTGATCACGTGACCGCGTTGCTTCTGTGGCACTCGCCACCGTGGCATTGCGTCAATATTGTGGGCTGTTTAGGCGACATTTAACCATGCATCATGCTTTTGATTCCCGGAGAGGTTTTGTTGTGATGAAGATGTGGTCTCCTTTTGAACAACTGTGCCTTGTTCTCTCACCTTTACACGTGCTCACAGAAAGGAAAGGTTGTGTGCCTTGTGCGCTGATAAAGGGTGGGCAAGCAATGGCACGCTTCTAATCTTGTGTTCACACGAGTATGAATCATTTCACCCGCAGCCCCCTATGAGTTGCTGTCGGTAGAATGTACAGAAGATTGTGGCACTGATATCGTAGTTGCTGGTCTTGGCCATTATCAGTCTATTTTAAACGTGGCTTGTGGGCGTCTGTGAGGCAAATGTGGCTACATAGGACGTTATGACCTCATAATAAAACAACAGCACAGACGACACTCACACAAAAAGACGCGTTGTGGCCGCCCAACAAAGCCCGTGCCACGACCGGCGGGAGTCAGTAGACCAAGTCTCAGCTGGATGTCACGGGGCCGGATGATCCGGAATGGTGTGTGGCCCGCCGTGCTGCCGCCGTGGACGACTCTCGTGTGGCTGTAGCGCCACACTGGCTATGCAAACTGTTCCCGCAACATGGAGATATTAAGGCCCAATGTCTGCACTGCGACTGCAACGGTGCGCGAAGCAGTCGGCCTTCGCGACATCCATCGGTGATGACTCTTAACGTGAGGCAGTAATTCGGAGCTGTAAACGCCGCTTGTGAAAGCTTTTACGGGTTCTTCTTTGTCGTCTAATTCATAAATCACGGGCTTTCACGCGTTTCCTCTTTGTTGTCTGATTCATAAATTTACATGAGCACGACCGGCTGCCTTGAGTTTGCGATGTGTGTAGGATTTGGCAATAACCGACGTGCTTATTGTTGCCATCTGCGATATGAGCTCGGGATCAATGGCAGCAGGTCTGTGTTTGAATGACCGCGGTACCCTATGCTGGTGCGGCATTCTTACTGACCCAGCGACTGACCAAGG